CAGAAAACTTCCCAAATATGAGGAAACAATCTGACATTCAGGTAACTGAAGCATACAGAACGCCAAAGAACCTCAACCCAATGAAAATCATAATGGGAGCTGGAGTGATAGCTTAGTGATCAAAGTGCCTGCCTGGCAAGCACAAGGATTATTTTTTTTTTTTTTTTTTTTTTGGGTGGGGGAGGTGCTGCTCAGGATGCCTTCAGGGCAGGTTTGATTCGGCTTGAGGATGAGGGGATCGAACCACAGCATCCTGAGCCTGACTGCTTTGTTTCAGCAGGCACTTAAAAACACCTGAGCTAATGGGCAGGCCCCCAAGCACAAGGATCTGGGTTCAATACTCAGTATCACACGCAGTGCCAGCCCTGTGCCAAGCCGGCCACAGAAACTGGGGATGGTGGTACATGACTGTAATCCCAGCACTAGGGAAGCTGAAAAAGGAGGATCATTATGAGTTGAACTGTGTAGTGAGACCCTGTACCAAATAAATAAAATGATTAAAAATAAAAAATATATAAATCATAAGATTTAGCTGCACATGATGATAGAGCTACAGTCTCAGCACTCTAGGAAGCTGAGAGGAAGAGCACAAATCAAGCAGCACTCACTGGAGAAGTACAGCTTATGCACAGGAGACATAGTTCAGTGTGAAAGCCATAAGTTCAATTCTGAGTACTACACAAAGAAACAAAGCATACCATTTTAACTATTAGTACACATTTATTTATTAAAACCAGATTGGTAGGGCTAGAGACAGCTCAGTGGACTAAGCACCTGCTTTGGCAAGCACAGGAACCAGGGTTCAATCCCTGGCACCAGACGCCAGCCCTGCCCCTGGGTATACTAAGACCAGGCATGCATGCCATAATCCCAGTGCTGGGGAGGCTGAAAACAGGGGGATCACTACGAATACGAGCTGCATACTGAGACCCTGTACCAAATACATTAAAAAAAAAAAAATCAGATTAGTGAAGGTGAATTGCATGAAAATGAAATTCTTGCTGGGGAGATGGCTCAGTGGAATAAGTGCTTCCCAGGCAAGCGCAAGGGCCTGAGTTCAATCCCCATTTCCACAAAAAAAGAAAGAAAATGAAATTCTATAGAAAGGCCCTCTGCTCTATTACCATTTCTTTCTATTTTTTACTTGATTATTTGTTATTTCTTTCTCTCTTTTTTCTTTTAGTGCTAAGGACAGAATTCAAGGAATCAATCCATGATAAGCAAGCATTCTAACCCTGAACTATACCCTAGATGATTAGCTGCTTTTATATGCATTTTAGGGAAATTTCAACTAAAGACCAAGACCTTACTAAATTGTCAGCCTTCACCTCCTAGAAAATCCTAAGTATAAATACATGAGTAAAAAAGAAGCCAGGGGGGAACTACCCGCTCGGGCCCCCCTCCTGTCCCTCTCTTGGACAGGAGCTTTCTTTCTCTCAATAAATATATTCTGCTCATAACCTCCATTTGTTCCTAAAATTCATTCTTCGGTTTTAGAGAACACGAACTCATTCAGGCCAGGTTGGGAATTTCACATCCCTATATCATTTGGAGGTCATCCACCGAGATCATTG